CGATGCTCTTCCTGCTGTTTATAAATGATTTGGTCCAGCAGCTACCGGTTACTGCCTCCATTTTTGCCAACGACGTCAAGCTAGTGAACTCAGGGCCGGTAGATCAACTGGAAACTGATCTGACCAAGGTTGTTCGGTGGACAATGAAGTGGGGCCTGGAGCTAAACGCTACCAAGTGTCGCGTTCGAAATACTGTAGGGCTTCCGGTTCGAGTGGCTACGACCACGGAACCGACGGTCTTCGCTGGAGTAAACCGAATGCTGGATCTAGGAATTCTGGTCCGCGAGGACTTTAAGCCTAGTGATNCCTAGTGATCAATGCCTGGCCGCCGCACAAAAAGCGAGGGAGCAATTGTTCCAGCTCACGGCGGCCATTTCGTCAAGAAAGGCTGAGGTTTTCCCACCTCTACATAAGGCCATAGTTAAGCCGCATTTGGAATACTGCGTGCAGGCTTGGTCTCCCTATTTGAAGAAGGATATAAATTGCCTGGAGAGGGTGCAACGGTTAGCTACTAGAATGATCGCGGGAATGAGGGGTAAGTCATATAAGGAGTCTTTTCTCCATGGAGAGGAGACGCCTAAGAGGCAACATGATTGAAACCTTCAACATAATGAAGGGACTGACTGGGTTAGAAGCCGAAAGTCTGTTTACCCGAGCACCGCTCGAGTCAACCAGGGGGCAACATTTGAAGTTACTTAAGCCCAGGAGCCGACTCAACCTTAGGTATAACTTCTTCGCGAGTAGAGTGATAGATCAGTGGAATCAGCCACCAACTTCACTGATAGAATTTAGGACAGTCGACGAGTTCAAAAGGCAGCTAGATGGGGTCTGGACGACCCTGTCCAGAGATCATGTAGGGTACCTGCTATTGACAGTAGGTGTCTATGCTGCCATTTTTAAAATAACCTCCCTTTGCAGGTACGAACGCACCAAGGAAGACAGTTCGTAACGAAGAAATCAGCTGTGGTCAAACATTCGACAAGAAGTCGAATCTCCGGAAGACGTGTTTCCGACTGGAGCAAGAATCTGGACGGTCGATAGGCGAAAGCCTATACCGTCCTGTGCAACCTGACCTGACCTGAGCTATTCACTACTCTATTGCTGAAGTAGTTGGAGCTCACACCTGACCTACTCCTTTTCTTCATCAGTTTGTGCTCGTGGCCCCTGGTAGCAGCATACGGGGTATCAGTGAAGAGTTCCTCAGGAGGAATCCCAGAGAAACTCCTCCTAATTTTGAACGCTTCTACGAGGTCTCCTCTAATTCGCCTCCTCTCTAGCGAGACTAGATCGAGGTCCCTTAATCTTTCCTGGTATGATGTACCCCTCTGTCCCTCTACCATTCTTGTAGCTAGTCTCTGCACTTTCTCCAGGCAGGCAGCGTCCATTTTGTGCAGAGGTGCCCAGGCTTGGATACAGTATTCTAGATGAAGCCTTAC